TATTGTCATCTTTATTTTATGTAAAATGAAACTAATGTTTACAGACTCTGACCCTTGTCCTCAAGTACAAGACAAAGTCAAAAGCAGAACATGTATTTCCTACCACTGTTCATCACTGAAACACTAGGAGGTAGAAATGAATTAATAGTATCATAGGGAAGTCATAAATTGCAAAATGAACCCAATATATAGCAAAGGGATAATCGTGGCTTCAGAGAATTTGTCTCAGTTTTTTAAATTTTATTTTTAAAACTACATTAACAGCATTATTTTAACCCTCTAAATATTAGATCATCACGCTCCTAAATATTTTCAGCAACACTATAACCGTTGACTTTCACTGTTGTATTTCCAGAAAAAGTTAGGATGCAAAAACCTTTCAGCCAAGGTTTTACTGACCAATTTCCATATCAAAGGCCTACAGGAAAGTGAAAGCAACAATGTTTTGTGATCCATAAAACATCCTTAAGCAAGAATTTGAATTACACCATGAAAAAGCCCAGAAGACAACGTCCTGATTGAGTTCAAGACACAATTTTGCCTCAAGGAGGGTAAAGGAAGTTTTGCTCTATCATAGAGGTCCTAAAGTATCTGTTAAATCACACAACTGGAACAATGAAAGCAAGAGGTCATCAAATAGCATAAACTTATTCTTCACACAGGATATTTCCATGGATACTTCCCAGTGTCCTGACATCACGTTTTTTTCGGTGACCTTGGAACATCACTATTGCCTGCCCTGGGCTTTGTGCAATGGCTTTATTTTTGTCCTATAATACAACTTCCTCCTCTTTCTCACCTTGCCCAGTTAAGAGCCCTTGTGCAACAAAATAGGCAAAGTATTTGTGAAATACATTAAAGAACATTAGAAGAATACTCTCTAGTTCAAGGACACTATTTTACTTCATGTGGTTTTAAAAATAATATTGTACTGGCTATCAAATAAATCAAATTATATCTATTTATAATATGCTTATACATTCTGAGAACTTTTCTCAGTATTCTAGTGGAATGTGGAGTGAAGAATCTGTGTACTTTTGACCTTCTTGGATAAAATATTTTTGAAATAAAATTAAAGATTTCATATATAAAGTATAATCTGTTCTCCTCAATATACATTTTTATTTACTATGTAAAGGAGGTAAAACATCTTATCAATAAAGGTAATATCATTTGCCAAAAACCATGAGCCAAACACCACGATACCTCTTGTTGATCATTGCCAGCTGACTACCCGATGAGAGTTATACACATATTGTATGTAAATGTAGATTTCTATGTAGCGTACACCCCATCATGTAAGCACGTCAGAAGCTCGTACGTTCACAAGTCTATTTCACAAAGAGCTTTTGCTATTCCAATACTTGAGGAAAGCAGTCAACATGAGCAACAGGTTCCCTAAGAACCTTAAAGTAAAACCCCATACACTTTATTATAAAAACATGGTATAACAAAGTTAGAAAGAAGACTTTGGATAAAGCAGGTGGAGCCTATTGTGACAATTAGTCAAGAAACAATGAAATAAAAAATTCTGTATCACAGAAGAAAACGTTGCTAATAACCCCATAAGTCCTAGATTAAAACAAGCTCTTTGCTCATAACATTGGTCTCTCAACATAGCGTGGCATAATCAGCCATATAATTATGCACTTCCCAGGAGAGACAAGCATGTAAAAGCTACAATGAGCTTTTCCAAAATCAAAACTGACACAGCACCTTCTGATAGTCCCACCATTCATATTTAGTAAAGCCTCCCTGTATTATCTCACCCAGTTTCTTTTTTACTTCCACCACATTGATTACTCCAATGATTTTCTATCATATCTGTTCTGAAAAGACTCAAACTTTATCAAAAGAGCAATCTCTGAGAAAAATTATTTTAATCCTGTTTTAGAAAAGCTTCATTAGAATCATCTATCTTTAAAGAAAAAAAAAAGACCATCTGAAAAAAAACTAGCCTCTTTCAAGAAAAATAAAATAACTCTTTGAATTATAATTGTGATTGTTACTTTCTTATGCCATAGCATTATGTTAAATGCTGGGATAGCAAACTTGTATACCAAGAATCTCCTTAATGTTCAAGGATTATTTACATTTAACATACATTAAATTCATAAATACAAAATGACTATCTAAAGTTTAAACATTTTCGATTATAGTGGATGGCAAAAAAAAAAAAGAAAAAAAAGAAAAGAAAGGAATTGAAACCCAAAGTAGCCAACTTTTGCTTCTTTCCTTTTCACAAGATATTTCTTCTGTAAACACATTGACATTAGAAACAGATGTTCTGATAGGTACCACCGCTTCCTTGTGATCTGAAAATTGAACCTCCTAAACAAGGAATTCATCAATAAAACGTGTGTCCGCCAAGCAAAAAGCCAGGGGGGTGGGTGTTGGCATGTTGACTATATAGCACTTACAGGCGAGACAACTCTAAACTAAGGTACCTGAGCAGGTTCAGAATCTTTTTTCGTTAAACCTACAGAGCTCTATAATAGAAAACATTTTGATCTCAGAAATGTTTAGCAGCAAATCCTTTCTGGAACTACTGAATAACAAAAAGAATTGCCAGGAAAATGTGAGGCTCTCTAACTACATATTGGCCATGCCTCTGACTCCATCCACCTGTCACAAATCTCCAAATTCAGCACTTCAGAAACCAGAGAAAAGAGCGAGAATGAGTCTCCCTAACTTTGCCATTTCCCTCACACCACTTGGGGATAAAACTTGGGCGTCTCTCAGCCTCGACTGGCCACTCCACTTTCTGGAGCTCCAGAAGCTCCCTCGGCACCTGGATAACTGCGACACTCACCCGTGAGCGCAGGACCCTCCTGGCGTCTTAAGTCCCAGCTCTCAGTCCCGCTGGCCGCAGGAACACAATGACATCCCTCGCCCAGGAGGGCGGTTGCGGGGAACCAGAATCGGACCCAACAGTTGCAGTCAACCTGACTCAGGGTTGAGCGCATCAGCGCTAAACCCAAGACAAAGGCTGCCCTGTGTCTTCCGTAGTGAGCGCTCTCCTTTGGTAATCTGTCCCTGTCCCCTTCAAGCCCACACTGGGAGCGCGTGAGCCTGTGAAGTGGCTGTCATCGATTCCGCGCTTTGCGAGGGGTGCGGCTGGGTGACTAGTACCACGCCGGTGTAAACAGCGCGCAACGCACTGGGGAGCCGCCAGAAACGGCGCGCGCGCAGAACGGGCGCGGGGGGCCAATAGTAGCAACTACCCCAGGCAGCGGGCTGGAGCCGCCTCTACTCACCAGAGAGGCGCCTATCGGGCTAGCCCGCCGACAGCAGGTTGGGTGGCAGCACCCGCCGCGAACCCCCAACCACGCTCCCCAGTGGATCCACCAGGCAAAAGCACCTGCTGCCTGCCCTCCGGGGCTGATGCTGTGCCAAGCCCCGCTCGGGGTCAGGGACAAGCCGCCCAGGACTACCAACCGGAGAGAGGGGACTCCCAGTAAGGCTGATTGAATGAATGATGTTTTCAGTCACTTACCGGCGGAGGGCGAAGTGGCTCAGGCGGCCGCCAGGCTGCGCGCGGCCGGCATCCCGGGGCGCGGGCATTCTCCCATCCTTTGTCAGATGCGGGTGGAGCGCTCCTCCCCAGCTAGCGGACGAGCAGCCGGGTGGCAGGCAGCCCGGCTCTGGCTCCGCTCCCCAGTGCTCTCCCCTCCTCTGCTCCCCCTCCCCTTCTCCGTCCCCCTCTCTGAGCCGGCATTCACTGGGCTCCCATGATGTCATCCGGTGGAAATCTGCCATGCTCAAAGACTGGAATAATCCAGCGCTCACGCGGGGAACGCAGAGCAGGCGGAGGCGGCAGCAGAGCCTCTAGGAGTTCCCAGAACTAGCATCTCCAGGTTAACTGGAGTCAAGGACAGGACAGAGGGGTAGTCTGCGGAAAGGTGGCTCCGAGGGTGTATGTGGGCTGGGTGGGCGCAGTGGGGATGGGGCCGGGGATGAAGAGCCTCTTCTTTGCCGTAGATTCCTAAATCTGTAGTTAGACTGATGGCAGATGCCAAGGGTAAGGAGAAAGTTTTTTCTGGCTGCTTAGTAGTTCAGGTGTCCCATCTCGGTGATGGACACCTACACTGCAGCCAGGATAATAATTAGAACCCCTGGAAACCTCGGAGCCCTAGTCACAATGAGAAAGTTTAGGATGTCTGACCAATGACAGCTTCAGTGATGAGCAGCTAAAGTGAGGGAGAAAGATGTGTACTGTTTACAGGCGGGAGTCTGAGGCAAAACATTAACGAAGGGACCTCGATAATCTACGACATGAACATGAACCGCTGGTCTGAGGCAAGAAGGCACCAGCAGGAATTCACTCCTAGCCTTAGTACTGACTTCCTGTCCTCCTACCATATGCTAATGGACACTCGAGAAGTGACTCCCTTGTAGCCTCACCCAAAGACTGTCATCAGTGATGAAACTATGTAAATCACAAGGTTTATTGAAACTCATAAAAGGTTCAATGCCAAATCTTTTGCTCAAGATTCTATGTAATATCAATAGAAGTTTTATTAGAGGAATAGACAAACAGCCTGAGTATTTTTGAAGATTATGCTGTTTTCATGGAAACAGGCAGATACACCAGATCTGAGATCCAGCCCTACAGCAATCTAGAGCAGTTTCATGTCAAAAACTCTCCTGCTCAGGGACCAGATTTCAACAGCTCATGGTTTGTGCTCTAATCAGTTCAAGCTTCAAGGAGGCTCTTGAGTTCCCAGATTACCTACCACCTGTCATTCCTGGAAGAGACTAAGCTTGCAGAGAAAAGTACCAGCAGCCAGGGCTGATTAGGCAGTCTTCAGCGAGAGTGCTAGGTGGGAACGTGCAGCCTCTGCCACTGCATTCATCACCATTATCCTTTAGAAGTGTGAAGACTAAGAATAACATTTATTACAAGTGTTGATATAGTTAGAAACTCCTTAATTTTTGTAAATACAAAGAGAAGTACTCAATATAATAATAACAACGACAACAATTTAAAGGCTACTCACTATCAGACAGGCTTCTTATTGTATTGTGAAATTGTGAAATCCGATGGGACTTTTCTGAGGAAAAATAATAAGTATGAAAAAGCAGCATCAGAAATTATTTTTAAAAATAAACTATCAGTGTAATGGATAAAGAAAATGTGGCACATATACACAATGGAGTAATATTCAGCCATAAAAGAGAATAAGATCCTGTCATTTGCAACAACATGAAGGGACTGGAGGTCATTACCTTATGCAAAATAAGCTGAGCACAAAAAAGGACAAACTTTACATGTTCTCACTCATTTGTGGGAGCTAAACATTAAAACACTTGAATTCACAGAGATAGCAATTCAAGTGATGGTTACCAGAGCCTGGGAAGAGTAGTGGAGGGTGGGGCAGGGAACTGACATAGTTAATAGATACAAAAATATAGATAGAATGAATAAGATCTAGTATTTGATAGCACAACAGTGACTATAGTCAACAACAATTTATTGTACATTTAAAAATAACTGAAAGAGTACAATTGAAATGCTTATAACACAAATGATAAATTCTTGAGGCAATGATACCCCATTTTCCCTGATGTGAATATTACATACGGTATACCTGTATCAAAGTATTTCCTGTACCCCATAAATATATATACCTACTATGTACCAACAAAAATTAAAAACTAATAAAATAGAGTATAGAAAAATTGTGATGCATATACTTGGAAATAATGTGTGAAATCTGTAAGTGTTCACTTTCATTTATTTTCAAATTAAAATATTTTAGGTATCACTAGTATTTATATCATTATATAATAAGCAAAAAATAATGTCAAATCATTGAACAAATTTTAGAAACAAATATTTTTAAATACCAAAATAATAAAGTTTTTTTAAATCAGGCCAAATGGGAAGTAAACTAGGAGAAAAGGTAACAATTTGGAAATGTAAGTAATGGCAGTCTTTGAGAATAGGAAAACAATCTAATGGCTTGAAAAAAGTAATTAGTACTGCTAATGATACTGTTCTAAGTGCATTAGAAGGTCAAGTTGTAAACCTTCCCTCCGAGATTGGTTCTTTGATGCCCCGTCTATCTTCTTTGCCTCTGTTTATCTTCCTGTTCTTCAGCATTCTCTGGACTAATTCATAAGAATGGAGACAAGAAGAAGGTCATAGTTAGCAGATACGTGGAATTTATAATAGTAGCCATAAAGATCAGAAAATGCATCCTTCAGCTTTGTTTTCTTTTTCATCACTGCTCTAAGGAATTAAAGCAAAATCTAAATCTCTTACTTTAAAGAAAAAATACATTCATACATGATAATGTATTTGGTTCTATAAAAATGTCTTCAGTGTGTGATTTGGGACTTTTTGGGGAATTAAAAATACTGTGCTGTGGCAATCACTCAGGACCTTGATCTTACTTAGCAAAGTGAATTTACTATATCTCTACAGTAACTTCTTTCCTAATGTGTCCCAACCTACTAATACCTTTGCCTGTGCCAATGACATTTTCCACTACTACTGCATGCTTTTTTATTTATTTGTAATTCTTAAAATGTGGTGTTTGAATATTTCAAAATATTTTTATCCAAATGGATAGCTATAAATAACTCAAATAAAACATCTAATTGTTATATGAAAATGTAAAAGTATCATAAATCTTAGCCAAAAAAAGTCTGAAATCGTATTTTACAAACCTAACTTACATTTGAATCATATTTAAATGGTGAATATGTTAAACCTTAGAATTGAAGACTTAGAGTAGATATATTATTTCTGCCTCAATTATTGATGCTCTACTGTACCGTTTTCATACTGATACATGAGTCTCTTCACAAAAGCAGCAAGTGCTTTGGTGGGAAAAAATAGACATATTTTAATATGTTTTCTTTCCAAATTCCACAGAATATAAACTTTTTATACTGTGGTTTCATTTAAATTGATAGATTCATGTATAGCTAGTGACTTTTATTTTTATTCTTATTTATTTACTTATTTATTTATTTATTTATTTATTTATTTATTGAGTCAGAGTCTTGCTCTGTCACTCAGGATGGAGTGTATTGGCATGATCTCACTCACTGCAACCTCTGCCTCCTGGGTTCAAGCGATTGTCCTGCCTCAGCCTCCCAAGTAGCTGGGATCACAGGCGTGCGCCACCACACCCAGCTAATTTTTTTTGTATTTTTAGTAGAGACAGAGTTTCTCCATGTTGGCCAGGCTGGTTTCAGACTTCAGAGCTCAGGTGATCTGCCCACCTTGGCCTCCCAGAGTGCTGGGATTACAGGCCTGAGCCACTGCGCCCGATCTTGACTTTTAAAAACAAGTTTTCCTACACACCAATTTGTTAATTGTTGATACATAATACACAGAAATAATATTAATAAGCCCGTATCATGTGCCAAATACTGTGCTAAGTTATTATATGTTACTCCATCTGCTCTTCAAATCACCCCATGATATAACTGTATTAAACTTTCTTGAAGATGAGGAAACAGAGACCTACACAGGTTACAAAAATTGTCCAGGCAACGAAACTAGTAACAAATCAAATTTAAAATTTGATTCTATCAGCCTAAACATATAAAGTCTGTCCTCATAACAGCATACTTGCAACTTTTAGGCATTTTTTCACTGAAAAAAATGAAATATGAAAAAATAAAATGCTATATACATACATACATTATATATACATATATATACACACATATATATTCTATCTGAGGAAGTAAATAATATGATTTTGTGAACTTTTCCATCAGGTAACAAATTCATCACTAATTTTATTTCCATTATCCCTGCTAATGAAATGCTTTCAAAGTTATTTATGAAGAAAAAGAATCTCAGACTACCAAATAAATTTTGGTTTTGGATTTATCCTTAAACAGTTTCATAAATAAAGCAAGGTACAGTGATTTTTGAACTTGAAGACAGATCATTGCAAAATGAAATAAAAAAGAAAAAGAGCCATAAACCATTCATTTAAATAAAGATAAAGACTACCTCAGCAACTATTTTCTCTGTACAGTTAATCCATTAGTAGCCCTGGGAGAGAAAACTACATCACCCATCCAAATGAAGGCTTTTTGTCCTACTGTGAATATTAACAAGGAAAATAGATCACTTTACTTATTGGACCTCAAAGGCCTAGTATGTTTTTTATCATAGAAAGTAATATTACCTGAGCCCAGGTATATAACCAAAGCTTCTTTAAACAGAAAGGTTTAGTATAGACTTTTTCAAAGTCTTTTTTTAAAATTTTATCTTGTTTCATAATTGCTGATGTTTGGCAACTCTGTTAATAAGGGTTATTTGAGAGAACGTGTGAAATGGTTAAAAGGTACACATAACAACGTATCATTTTTTCAAAGTATGCTGCTAACTTGACTTTTTGAACTACTCATTTATGATATAAACCATTTAAAAAAACAAGGGCTACCTTTGTAGTCATTAGATATATTAGCAGGTACAAATTTATTTATTGCATAGTTGTGATCTAAATATTAGTGTTATTTTGACTTTAGTTCCAGTACGTTCTTCTATCATTAAATATCTTTATTTGACAGGACAGGGGACACATCCCATGGCTTTAGTTAATTTTCCAGCTGCTTTGTCAGTTATGCTGGTCATTGGCATGAACATGACATGGAAGAGGTTCTTATATTAATTGCTTTTGTTTAAAGGTAGAGGAAAGGTGGGTGTCCAAGATGGCCGAATAGGAACAGCTCCAGCCTCCAGCTCCCAGCATGAGTGACACAGAACATGGGTGATTTCTGCATTTTCAACTGAGGTACCGGATTCATCTCACTGGGGTGCATGGGACAGTTGGTGCTGGTCAGTGGGTGCAGCCCGACCAGCGAGAGCTGAAGCAGGGTGAGGCATTGCTTCACCTGTGAAGCCCAAGGGGGAAGGGAATTCCTTTTCCTAGCCAAGGGAAACTGAGACACACAACACTTCGAAAATCGAGTGACTCCCACCCTAATACTGAACTTTACCAAGGGTCTTAGCAAATGGCACACCAGGAGATTATATCCCACACCTGGCCCAGAGGGACCCATGCCCACAGAGCCTCCCTCATTGCTAGCACAGCAGTCTGAGATCTAACTGCAAGGCAGCAGTGAGGCTGAGGGAGGGGCACCTGCCATTGCTGAGGCTTAAGTAGGTAAACAAAGCCACTGGGAAGCTCGAATTGGATGGAGCCCACAGCAGCTCAAGGAGTCCTGCCTGCCTCTGTAGATTGCACCTCTGGGGACAGGGCATAGCTAAACAAAAAGCAGCAGAAACCTCTGCAGATGTAAATGTCCCTGTCTGACAGCTTTGAAGAGAGCAGTGGTTCTCCCAGCACGGAAGTTGAGATCTGAGAACGGACAGACTGCCTGCTCAAGTGGGTCCCTGACCCCTGAGTAGCCTAACTGGGAGACATCCCCCACTAGGTGCAGACCAACACCTCACACCTCACACAGCGGGGTACACCCCTGAGACGAAGCTTGCAGAGCAAGAAACAGACAGCAACACTCACTGTTCAGCAATATTCCATCTTCTGCAGCCTCTGCTGCTGATACCCAGGCAAACAGGGTCTGGAGTGGACCTCAAGCAAACTCCAACAGACTGCAGCTGAGGGTCCTGACTGTTAGAAGCAAAAGTAACAAACAGAAAGGACGCCCACACCAAAACCCCATCAGTACATCACCATCATCAAAGACCAAAGGCAGATAAAACCACAAAGACAGGGTAAAAGCAGTGCAGAAAAGCTGGAAATTCAAAAAATCAGAGAGCATCTCTCCCTAAAAAATGAACACAGCTCATCACCAGCAACGGAACAAAGCTGGACAATGACTTTGACGAGTTCAGAGAAGAAGGTTTCAGTCTATCAAACTTCTTAGAGCTAAAGGAGGAACTACGTAACCAGCGCAAAGAAACTAAAAACCGTGAACAAAGAATGGATGAATGGATAACTCAAATAATCAATGCAGGGAAGACCATAAAAGAACTTATAGAGATGAAAACCATGACGCAAGAACTACGTGACAAATGCACAAGCTTCAGTAATCAACTCGATCAACTGGAAGAAAGAGT